ATCTATGCCAAGAATTTTGGAAGACAGTTACCTGGCCATCTGATTGGATGAAATGTGGGCCAACAGAATGTGGTAATCATTGAACAATATCATTAATATCATATACTAGTAAAATTTTGCTGAAGGTAATTAAAAAACAGTAACAGGCAACTACTAGAAATTCACACTGGATTCAGAAGAGGTCATGGAACTAGGGATATAATTGCTGTCATCAGATGGATCTTGACTAAAAGGAGAGAATATCAGAAAGATGTATTCTTGTGCTTTAGTGACCATGCAAAGACATTCGACTCTGTGTATCATAACAAACAGTGGATAACATTGGGAAGAGTGGGTATTCCAGAATAATTGTATTCATGAGGAACTTGTATATAGCCCAAGAGGCAGTCATCCAAATACAACAAGGGGACACTGATTGACTTAAAATCAGGAAAGGGGTGAACCAGGGTTGTATTCTTTCACCATGCTAATTCAATCTCTAAATTGAGCAAATAATCCTAGAAGCTAGATTATATGAAGAAAAGAGTGTCATGAGGATTGAAGGAAGACGCTTTAACAACCTGCAATATTCAGATGACACAATCTTGTGTGCTGAAAGTGAAGAGGACCTGAGCACTTACTGATGAAGATCAAAGACTACAGACTTCAGTATGGATTGCCCCTCAATGTAAAGAAAACAGAAGTCTTCACAACTTGACCAATAAATAACATCACAGAGCAAAGACTGAAGTTATCAAGGACTTCAGTTTGCTAGGGTCTATAATCAGTGCTCATGGAAGTAGCAGTCAAGAAATCAAAGGACGTATTGCATTAGGAAAATCCACTGCAAAAGACTTCTTTTAAGTGTGGTCCTGGTGTGGCTCTGTAGAATAATGCACTGATCCACAAGGTCAGCTTGAACCACAAGGTTGGTGATTGAAACCCACCAACTGCTTCTCAGAAACCCTATATAGGGTTGGTATGAGTTGGAACCAACTCAACAGCACTTAACAACAACTACAACAAGTGTTAAAGAGCAAAGAGGTCACTTTGAGAACTAAAATGTGCCTGACCAAAGCCTTGATATTTCCAATCACCTCAAACAAATCTGTTTTGGAAGTACAGCCAGAATGCTTCTTAGACACAAGGATGGCAAAAGTTAGTCTCACGTACTTAGGACATATTTTCAGGAAGGATGAGTCCCTAGAGAAGGACATCATGCTTGGTAAAGTGGAGGGCCAGCAAAAAAGAAGAAGATCCCCAATGAAATGGACTGACACAGTCACCGCATCAGTGGATTCAAGCAACAGTTATGAGAATGGCACAGGACCTGGCAGTATTTCCTTCTGTTGGACTTAGGGTTGCTATGAGTTGGAACTAACTCGACAGGCAACTAACAACAACAACCCCTACAAGGCTGCCACACATCTTATTTGCATGATTAACAAGCTTGGTGGGCCACAAGCACTTTATTTGCATAGTCCCACCCAAGCATTTGTTGGTCATTACAAAACCTTGATGAGAAAGACCATACATAAAGTGATTCATCATACCTCACTCACACACAGCAGCTATTTAAAAATATTTTCAATATTCCAAAATTTGGAATATATACATGTAACCTAGACATCTCTCAAGGTGCTATTCAAATGTCCCATCTTCCAGGCAGCAAATACTTCCCTGATTTCTTACGCCTGCTCTGCATACTTAAAACTGGTTTCCCCTTCTCTGAGTACCCAAGCCCCCATGAATCTTCTTTTAGAACATGGTACTGTGTTCTACTTGATGTCTTCTCTAGTGTTGATTGTTTTCTCCCTGGCACTATAGGTTAAGCTCTGGACCACAAGGTCAGTTTGAGGTACAGGTCAGCGGTTCAAACTTACCACTTGCTCCTTGGAAACCCTATACTGGATTGCTGTGGGTCAGAACTGACTCGATGGCACTTACCAATAACAAGAGGAGAGTCTGCTCAGCTCTGCATCTTCCCCCTCTAGAATACCTAGGGCTGACCTTGTTTGTGGCCACTAATTGGGATCCCTCTCTATTTCACATATTCCTTCTATTCCAGAGCTAAAGTCGCTGCAGCTGATGTGTCCCCTGGGAACCCAACCGAGACCCTCACCCCTGTGAGGCACACAGTGAAGATAGATAAAGATGCCCTCCTCCAGGACTATGGATTTCACATTTCGGAGAGCCTTCCTCTCACAGTGGTAGCCGTCACAGCAGGTAGGGTTGAAAGGGAAACAAGAAAAGAGTTGCCTTCTTGTGGGGGAACAGTACTGGTTCTCTGTCCTTTAACAAAATGTAAAAAAATGCTACTCCAGGAAGTTAGAAAAAGCAAAAAGGGCACACCTAAGTGTAATGGTTATGAATCGGGCTGCAAACCTCAAGGTCAGCAATTTGAAACTACCAGCTGCTCCGCGGGAGAAAGATGAGGCTTTCTGCTCCCGTAAAGATTTACAGCCTCAGAAACCCTGTTCAGGATCACTATGGGTCAGAACTGACTCGACGGCACTTAACAACAACAACAATTCTGACCTAATTTTGTTTTGGACTTTGCACCTTCCTTTGGTGCTGAGAGGAGGGATACCCTAGTGCACCTGCTGCTCTGAACACCAGATTCACACTGGCCTCAGCTGAAGCTTTGTCTCCTCACGACATCTGGGCCAGTGAAAGGATTTGGAGCAGCCAGTCCAGTTCTTTAAACCCTCCATGCTTTAAGCTGTGGAGAGTGTCTGGTCAGCTGATAATAGAAACTATTGATTTGTTTTCACTTGTATGTTTGTGAAATAGAGTCTATGCCAGGGTAGGAAGAGGCAGGCTCTAAATATGTAGTGTTTGGTTTCATACTTGAACTATGTATTGATTTTAGATCTGGAGCTAGTTAAAAATCTCTTCATTTTATTTTATGCCCATACACATACCCATGATCAGAGATTCACTGGCCAGCTCTGCTGAGTTAGAGGGTTTCTGCTGGCCTTCCTGAGGACATTCTCTTAACATTCCTTGATGGACGCTGGATGGTAGGTACATTATCTGTGATTAATCAACAGGAAAAATGAGGTCTCCACAAGCCCAGGTGGACTGAGGAGTGAGGTGCAGGGTGAGCCAGTGTCCTGGGAAGTAGATGAGGCTGCCATTCTGGTGCTACTATGACCTATGAGGTGTGAACCCTTCTGGCATGAGCAACAGTGATTGTTTTCCTGTCTGACAGGAGGTACTGCTCACGGCAAGCTCTTCCCTGGTGACCAGATTCTCCAGATGAACAACGAACTAGCTGAAGACCTTTCCTGTGAACGAGCAACTGATATTCTGAGGTACTAAATTCTCTTTAATCATCCACAACACTGCACAAATTATCACAGAGCAGACTGTCAACAAGAATGGCATAACTGATCTCTCTGAGATTTTAGTAAGGCTCAGTCTCCTTTAAAACTGAAAGAGCAGCCTCGTTTTAGAAATCCAACTCTCTCTTATAATGGCTTGTCTGTGATGGCTGCCATTATTTTTCTCTCCCCCTCTCCCCCCACTACAGAGGTGCTTGGGAAGCATCAGAGTGTCACATTCACTGAGCCCCTGCAATGCCAAAAACACTTTGCTAGGCACTGTGGGGAATCTGTGGGGAATATAAGGATGAGAAATAAATCTTCTACTATCTAAGGAGGACCTCTGGTGGCATAGTGGGTTAAGTGTTGGGCTGCTGATTGAAAGGTCAGCTGTTCTGCTGGAGAAAGATGAGGCTTTCTGCTCGCATAAAGATTTACAGCCTCAGAAACCCTAAACAGGGTCACTGTGAATCCGAACCAACCAAAGGCACACAACCAACCAACCTTCTAAGGATTCATAGCTTTGTTGTAATAAATGCCAAAGGCTGAACTAAACTGATACCAATTTTTGCTTGCTTTTTTCTAACCCTTTGGCTATTGGTTCTTAAATGTTTTGTTTTGTTTGTAGCTGTGACCTGGTATGTAGTTCACTTGGCATAGCATCCTCTACCTTCTACCTGGTCTCCTAATTTGTGCCAATGCTTCAGTTTCTGCTTAGGCCATGATTTCCTCACAACTGGGACCTGGTATCATAGTTCATCCATATTGTAACATGTATCAGAGTTTCATTCCTTTTAATGATGGATATTATTGCATTGTCTGCCTATACCACATTTTATTTATCCAATCCTCTATGAATAAACACCTGGGTGATTTCTACCTTTTGGAGATCATGAATAATGTTGCAATGAACAGTAATGTAAGTAATATTTAACTCCTGCCTGTTCATTGAGCACCTGCTCTGGACAAAAAACCCTCTGGAGCCAATGGACTTCATTCTGCAGACACTTTGAGGCTGATAGTATGGAGACAGTTCGTGTACACCCTCTAAGACTGAGAGCAGACATTACATCAAGAGAAGCAGAGAAAATGGGTTATAAAAGCTGGAGATTCCACCAGCTTGGGGGGTGAGTGTGGTTAACAGTTTGGCCACACAAAGTTAGGTGAAGAATGATTCAGGCAAAGTGTTAATAAATAGTAAAGGCAAGAATGGGAAGGAACCACAGAGTAGGGAGTAGGGGGGTTGCTGAGCAGTTCAGTTTTCCTAGACCTGGAGAAAAATTCTGAGAAGTAAGCCCTAGATGGTTGAGGATCTTGAATGCAAAACTAAATGTCGTCCTCCTCCTGAAAGGGTGAGCTGTTAAAGAATTCTGAGCCGGAGCCTGACTTAATATCTGTCAGCTGTGCACCTGGGCCTCCTGTTAAATGCCATGGGTGAGAATTTCAGGACTGCTTATAGGTTAGCTTGGGTCTCAGTGTCTAAAAGCAGAATGTATTTTTCATTGTCACTTGTAAAGAGAACAAAGCAAAACAAAATGATACAATAATACCAACAAAATCTCTCTAAATCTGCCAGATAACTATAAGGCCAAAATGCCCTTTTGATAGTATTTGGACTTGGTTTATTGTGAACTGCCTCTGAAAAGGCCTATTCATATATAACAGAAAAGAGGCAAATCCCCAGACAATTAGAAGCCTCAGACTGAGTTTATCTGAGAAAATAACACGCCAGCAGCAATTGGCTGAAATGTTCATATTACAAGAAGTCAAATGAAATCAATATGCAAATTGCTTATCTATGAAACAATAGCAAGGAAAATACAAATCTATGTCTCAGTCCTGTCTGCTAATATAAAATGGCTTGGGGAAAAAAAAAATGGCTTGGGTTGTTACTTGGTAGATTTAATCATTTTCAGAATGTAAGAGCTATTATAAGACAAAAAATGCTTAGTATCATAATTGAACTTCTTGTACTCACTTTGTGCACCCAGAGACCATAAAATGGTTGACTTCCATCTAATAAATATTATCCACAGACATTTATTCTAGACAATGAAGTGTTTAGCCCAAGTTTTCTGAAGTAGCAACCTAAGTTATTTATGTTGTATTTCCTCTTAAAAATTGATTTTGGACATGAGTCTAGCAAGTGATCATGTCAACGAGTTGAGTTCTCCCGCAGATGAGACTAGATGAAGGCCGGATGCCTTTGTTTGGTGATGGTAGGTACAGATTCAGTGACAGAAGTGGGAGTCTGAAGACTTCCTCCAGGTAGAAGGAGCACTCTTGGGATAGCTTTCCTTCAGGTCCTTTTAGATTTTTCTGAGCTAAAGAAGTTGAAGTAAAAAGGGCAGCTTTGTCATTGTGCTAGTTGTTTTGACCCCGTGCACACATACAAACACATACATATCACCCAGAATAACTAAATACTTTTATCATTTTTTTTCCCCCCAGGGAAGCTGAGGATTCTGTTTCAATCACAGTTGTTCGCTGCACATCGGTAAATGTCTTTCTATGTCCTGTATATTTGTGTCACACTTCTCTGGACAAAAGGTGACAGATAGCTGCAAGGGAGCAGGTAGCCAGCCATTGTCGCCTGAAAACTTGCTGTGTGCATGCGCCGTGGAGGAAACAGACATGGGTCCAGGCCTCCGGGCCTCAGGCCCCAGTTTAGGAGACAGACATATGCAGAATGAGACAATGAAAAGGGCATCAAACTAGGATTTTCAAACAGCTTTGAGTGGTCTGACTTTGGGCAAGTCATTCAGTTTCAGTGTTCACTTCTGTATAACAGTGATTATGCTGATAATTGCCTGGTCTGTCTAATGGGTTTTTATGAGCATCAAATGAGGTGTTCAGTGTGCAAGTGTTTTATCAGCTCTGAGGTTTGCTGTGAGGCAAGATGTGGCATACATGATGGACAGGAAGGAAATAGAAATCTTAAACCACTCTGGGCCACAGAACCCTTTTTACATTACATAGGAAAAAGTGTATCATCAAAGTATAAGAGGAAAAACTACCAAGAAATAAAAGTTGACAGAAAATTTTCATTGTAAGAGATTTTTGATTACAGGTAGACATGGAAGTGAAGAAGGGCATCTTGTTATTGTTAAGTGCTGTCAAGTCAGTTCTGACTCATAGCGACCCTGTGTAGGGTTTCCAAGGAGCAGGTGGTGGATTTGAACTGTCAAAACCTTGGGGTTGGCAAGCCAGTGTTTATCCTACAGTACCATCCCAAAACTCCAAACATGTGCATAGAGAATTTTAATAATGCTTTTAAAAAACATAATCTAATAAACTACATACCAGGCTACCAAGAAAACTCAATAAATTTCCAAAATAAAAAAACTATCTGATTTTCTGAGTATAATAAAATAGAAATTAATAACTATCAAAAACTTAACTAACACTGTTCAGTCATTTGGAAATAAAAGTATAAATATGAAGTCAAATAGAAAAACAAAACTACCATGTGAGGTAGTTTAGAAAGTAAGGGTCAAAACTCAATTTCTTAAAACTTACTCAATGCAGCTAAAGCTAATGGGCAGAGTAACATGCATAGCCTTAAGGGTTTTAATTGTTTAATAAGGAAGTGGTGGTGTTAGTGATTATGTGGCTTGTAGTTTGTTCCGACTCATAGAGATCCTGCATAGGGTTTCTGAGGCTGTAAATCTTTATGAGAGCAGAAAGCCTCATCTTTCTCTCCTGCAACAGCTGGTAGTTTCAAACTGCTGGCCTTGAGGTTAGCAGTCTGACTTGTAACCACTATACTACCGGAGTTCCTTAATAAGGAAATAGGTCAATTGAATATTCTGTGCAAGAAGTTGAAATAAAAGGATAATAAGACACACATAAAGCAGAATAAAGAAAATAAATTAAAAATAAAATCTAAGTGATGCTTTGGAAAACAAAAATTGTAGTAAATTGCTAAATAAATTCAAGAGGTTTAAGGGGGGAAAAACATTGCTAAAAGAGGAAAACTTTAAGGAAAAGAGATACATGGGACCTATTTGAAGGAGACTGTAATACTACTTGTTGTTATCGTTGTTAAATGTCTTTGAGTTGGTGATTCCAACTCATAGCATCCTTGTATAGGGTTTCTGTGGTTTTTTAAATGTTTGCAGGAACAGAAATCCTCATCTTTCTCCCGCTAAACAGCTGGTGGGCTTGAACTGCCAACCCTGTGGTTCATAGTCCAGTGGCTATCCTATGGAGCCACCATGCTCCCATACTTTATACTAATGAATGTAAAAAAAAAAAATTGAATGTAAAAGAAAATGAATTGATGGTCATACTAAGTTGCTATTAGTATGTTATCTATTCTCATATTAGTGTATGGTAGTGCTTATATACCATGGAGTCGATTCTGACTCACAGCAACCTGGTATAGGGTTTCCGAGGCTATAAATCTGTACAGGAGCAGAAAGCCTCATCTTTCTTCCACAGAACTGCTGGTAGTTTTGAACTGCTGACCTTAAGGTTAGTAGCCCGACTCGTAACCACTACACTACCAGAGCTCCTTATATTAGCATATAGGTGAATTAAAGTTCAAACAAAATTCCTGTGTGGTTTTTATTAGAATTTTTGCAAAGTGTATCAAAGTGAGAGTTACTAAGAAAATCTTTTTTAAAACGACTAATGAGGATAGACTTACTCTATCAGATTTTTAAATTAATAAAGCTACAGTAATTAAAACAATATGATATTGGTAAAATACTGAACATATTAATGGAGTCAAATAGAAAATCTAAGAATAGATAGTGGTATAAGAATTCAGTATGTAATAAGCATGGCATCCCAATCAGTGGGAGAAAAGATGATTATTCAAGAAACTGCTGGGGGTGGCGGCTAGGGTGGCGGTGCAGTGAAGTTCACCATCAGCAATTCCACAGAATACCAGACAGAGCAGATCCAGGGCAGAGCTCCAAAACTCAGAACAACATAGGTACAAATATTTTAAAAGTTTGAAGGCTTATAGCTAGTGGAACTTGGAAGCAGAAGTAAGAAATCATGTACTTTTGAATCGGCTGGTGTGAGGGGTTGGTGGGGGGAGCAGAGCCAACAACTTGGGTGAGACCAAAGGCAAGACCAAG